TTAAGCATTATAACAAGATTCTCTGCAGCCTCAATCTGTAAAACACTGCAGACTGTCTAAACATCCGAGGTGGAAAGCTGTTTAGGAATACTGATGCCATTTTGAGCCAAAAATGTGTGAGTCCAGCTTTCTGATCCTGGTTCTGAGACCAGGATCAGGACAATGAGCAGGACAATGGTTCTGGACCTTATTTTTCTCATGTGCAAAGTGGGAAGCATTGTACCTAAAATGTAAGGCTACATCTATTGCTTTATTGACCACACCAAAGCCTTTGAGTGTGTGGACCACAACAAACTGTGGAAAATTCTTAAAGAGATGGGAATACCAGACCACCTGATCTGCCTCCTGAGATATCTGTATGCAGGTCAGGAAGCAACAGTTAGAACTGGACATGGAACAACAGACTGGTTCCAAGTCGGGAAAGAAGTATGTCAAGGCTGTATATTGTCATCCTGCTTATTTAACTTCTATGCAGAATACATCATGAGAAATGCTGGGCTGGAAGAANCTTTGGCCACCTGATGTGAAGAGCTGACTCACTGGAAAAGACCCTGATGCTGGGAAAGATTGAAGGCATCAGGAGAAGGGGACAACAGAGGATGAGATGGTTGGATGGCATCACAAACTCAACGGACATGGGTTTGGGTGGACTTCGGGAGTTGGTGATGGACAGGGAGGCCTGGCGTGCTGCGGTCCATGGGGTCGCAGAGAGTCGGACCCGACTAAGGAATGATGTAAGGAATATATACAGCCAGACACGAAAGGTCACAGGGTGTCTGACTCTGTTTGTGTGAGGGGTCTGGAACAGGCAGGTCCGAGAGACAGAAGGCAGCCCAGAGGTCACGCCCTGTGGGCCGTGGGCCCTCTGACCATCGGAGCCCACAGGACGCTCTTCTCGAGACCTCCCTCCCACCACCTCCGGCTGCTCCGCACATCGGCCGCTCCGGCCTGCCCCTTCTCCCTGAAACTCCTTCCCCTCGTTTCAGTGACGGCCTCCGGCTTCCAAGTGGCTTCTTCAATGTCATGGCTGTTTGCTGTCAGCTACATTTCTCTTCCTACCATAATCTTAGGTCTGAAAGATGGACCCTTTTCCCTCTTTTTCACTCCACAACCCTCTGAAAAATCTCATCTATGCCGTAACTTCCACGGTAACTCCTGGATTGACAACTTCTAGAAGGCCCTCTCCTGTCCACCCTGCCTCTGCTGAACTCCTGCCTTGGTTTACACACTCCTTTCCCCCAGAAACGGCAGAATTGGCTCGCACACGCACAGACCTCACACACCCATCTGGGCGGGGCCCGGCCCAGAGGGAGCTCTGCACATCAGGTCCCCGGGAGAGCTGGTGGTTCCGCCCAGCGTCCCTATTTCTGTCTATGGCGCCAGCCTCAATGCTGGATTTTCACGAAAAGGGTTACTAAGGGCAGTGGGACGGAGACTGGCTGAAACTCATCAGATAGGAAAGTACAGCTATGTGACCGAGGCCTCAGCGTCTACACAGGCTGCCGACGTCAGGAAGCTGGTGTGAATCTGGATTCCCGAGAGACAGTGAGGGTCAGAACTGACCAAAGGCTTCTTTTAAAACTGCATTCGCTGAGTCAATCAGAGAAAGACAAACACCGTATTACTCCTATGTGCAATCTAAAAAATACAACAAACTAGTGAACGGAATAAAAAAGCAACAGACTCAGATGCAGAGAGCAAACTGCCCGTTACCAGTGGGGAGTGGGAGGCGGTTAAGAGGCTCAAACTGTCGGATACAAAATAAGTTACAAGGATATATTATACAGCACAGGGAATATAGCCAATATTTTATAATAACTATAAATGGAGCATAGCCTTTAAAAACTGTGAATCACTATATTGTGCACTTATAAAATATTGTATAACAACTATACTTCAATAAAAAAAGATTGGAGTAGAAATAAAACAGAAATGCACTTCCTTTTAGTAACTTAGAGCATATTCTCAGTGACTACACAGAACGTGAGTGATGAGAAGAACAGAACACCACCCCTGTAACTTCACTTGATAGTAAGCAGAAACAGTCAGGTGACTTTATTACTGTATTCCAGTTACATAAATATCTTTACATATAACTCAGTGAGAACAATAAGAGAAACACGCCAAGAGATAAGGCCTCCTCTGAAAAACAGAAGGGGCTTTTGCAGGCCAGAAGGACACAGAAGGCAATTAGCACTGCGGGGAGGTAGAGAGGTGTTTTTGTTCCCTGTCTGTTATTTCTAATTTTTTTTTGAAAACGGGTGTGCCTAGGGGCAAGAATCAAGAGATTTATGCATTAGGTGAATTCCCTCTTTGCAAAATGGACAAAAGAGTCAGCTTGCTGAGCAGATTAGATGAAAGAAGCCAAAGAGCCCGAGGCTCCCACCAAATGGGAAAGAAATGCAGGGGGAGGGGCAGGAGGAGCCGGAACAAAACCAGGGTCTGGATGCAGAGGAAGATGGACGTGCCTGCAGTGGGGACCGGGCCCTGCCCACACCCTGGGGCCACCAGGAAAGAACCGCCTGCTGGGCCAGCAACAGGAACCAACGTTCCGCAAGGATGGGCAGTGTGGGAGCCCACTCCTCTGAGGAAATTTGGAACTTTGCACCCTGAATACATAGCCAGGATTAAGGATCGAAAACCGAGCATGAGATAGTCAAAGGTTGAACACTCTCACTACCGGACTTCCCTGGTGGACCAGTGGTTAAGAATCCACCCTACAATGCAAGGCACGTGGGTTCAACCTGCTCACCACGAGTAGAGAAAGGCCGCAGCACAGGGCACCCAGCGCAGCCAGCAGTCAGTAAATGAGCAAATCTTTAAAAAATAAAGACCAGCTCTCACGGTTAAGTATCTGTGAGGTGTCAGGTCAGGTGCTGAGCTGGGTGGACATTTTCACGTTCACACCCTCCTTTAATCTCTGCAAAGATTCTGGGGAGCACAACTCATAGCCCCATTTTGCAGACAATGGAAACTGAGGCCCAAGGTCAAACAGCCAGTGCTTAGAGACAAAGGGATTCAAACCTGGGCTGAAGTGCTGAATCTGTGCTCTTTTGCATGGAAATCTACACTCCTGCTCAGTGTATTACAATCAAACAAACAGAAAAGAATATAACTCAGTCTTTGTGAGCCAGGGGACCTCGCCAGGAAACAGTCCTATTTGAAAGGAATCTAATGCAAAGAGATGAACAACTTGCCTTTCAGATCCCTGTAGAAACCCACCTGGGATATCCCATTTTTTGCCCTGTTCTGAGAATCACTGTGTGTGTGCTTAGTCACTTAGTCACATCCGACTCTTTGCGACCCCGCGGACTCCAGCCCGCCAGGCTCCTCTGTCCACGGGATTCTCCAGACAAGAACACTGGAGTGGGTTGCCACTTCCTTCTCCAGGGCATCTTCCCAACCCAGGGATTGAACCCAGGTCTCCCGCACTGCAGGGGGATTCTTATCGTCTGAGCCGCCATCAATGGACAAGGGAAGTTACAGCAAAGAAGGTGAACAGCACAGGGAAACCGCACTCAGGCGGTGTCGCCCCGTCTTCCTAAGAGTCACAGTTTTGTAAAATGTTACAATAAGTAAACTCTGGGAATTCAGCATGTTCTCAGTGCTTTACCAGGGCTGCCCTGGTGGCTCAGCTGGTAAAGAATCCGCCTGCAACGTGGAAGACCTGGGTTGGGAAGATCCCCTGGAGAAGGGAAAGGCTACCCACTCCAGTATTCTGGCCTGGACAATCCCATGGACTATAGAGTCCACAAGTCAGTCACAAAGAGTTGGACACGACTGAACAACTTTGACTTCACTTCAATGCTTTACTGATATGAATTCATCATTGAATCCCACAAGGACCCTACGAAATAAGCATGTCTATTATTATCCCCTCAGAGAGGGTGAGCCCAATGTCCAAGAAGCCAAGACAGCTCATTTCCACGTTGTCCAAACCTGTAACTACGATGCCTCTCACCGGGCTTCCCAGATGGCGCCAGTGGTAAAGAATCTGTCTGCCAAAGCAGGAGATGCAAAAAACTCTTATTTGACCCCTGGGTTGGGAAGATCCTCTGAAATAGGAAAGGCAACCCACTTCAGTATCCTTGCCTGGGAAATCCCATGGACAGAGGAGCCTGGTGGGCCACGGGCCACAGGGTCGTGAAGAGTGGGACGTGACTGAGCCACTGAGCAGGCTGCTACCCCTGAGACCTTTGAGAAAGGTCTGGTTCAAGGATCAGGACGCAGCCAGCAGCCGCTGACCTGTCTCCTCTCCTAGGTCTGGTTCAAGGATCAGGACGCAGCCAGCAGCCGCTGACCTGTCTCCTCTCTTCAGACCAGCTGCTCAAGGGAGCCCTCCTTCCACCGGGCTGAGCTTCAGCGCATTTCGACCCACACTGGGGACGCTGCTAGGCCGGACCAGCGTGGTCCTCTCCAGGAAACCTCCGCCATTTGTGAGGTCCACTCCTTGATTCGCAGGCAAGGACATGGAACCCTAGGCATCCCATGACACCTGTCCAAGGTCACAGAGGTCACCACGCAGGTCCCTCACCGGTAACACAGGGCTCCGTCCACGAGCACTGGTTTCTGATACTCTGAGCGCATGCTGTGGAGTCTGTCCCAGCAGCAAATACACCACAGAGAGGCTGCACTTGACACGTTTTAGCAGAAAAACTCTCAGAGGAGCTACGGGGGGCAGCGAGGCGTCAGCACTGTGGGAGTGGGCGACACACAGCAGGACTCCCGGCAGAGTCAGTCCGTGAAGCCAGCTGCGGACCTGGGGACTCGCGTCCCCTGAAGCAAGTCACCTCCGGGCAGAACCGACTCCCTGCAGCACTCGCACCAGGGCTGTGTGCCCGCGGGCACAGCGGGCACAGCGGGCACCTGGCGGCGCCCTCCCCTCTGTCTGCTCCCGGCCTGGGGCGGCTCCGTCCTGCTGGGGCGCTGGGGGCCTGCAAGGTCTTCTCCCCGTTTCCTTAGTGCGGCTGGGGGCTGTCAGAAGCGGATGGAGAGAGTCATCAGCCGTGCGTGTTGGGGATGTGTTCGAATCCCACGCCTGCGTTCTGCGGGAGCAGCCCTAAGAGCAGCGGCCGCATCCAGGAGGGCCCGACGGGCTGGCCGGGGGCAGGTCTGCTTGGAGAGGGGGCGCATGGGGGTTTGAACAGCTTTCCGAGAAGAGCCAGGAGATGGGGGGGTCTGCCCCCAGGACGGGCCAGCGGTGGTGCGGCGTGGGCGGGCTTCCCCAGGGGACTCCAGCCCCAAACCCGCCCGACGCGCAGAGACAGTAAATCTGAGGCCGGGCCCAAGCGGTCAGCGGTCAGAGCCGTGAAGGCAGCAGCTTCTCTCCGAACAAATCCACATGTGGAGCTCAGGGGCCTGCCGAGCCCACGAAGGCCCCAGGCAGGCAGACGTGGAGGATCCGACGGGCAGCGGTTCATGCCTCTCCTCGCAGACAGGAGCAGGGACGACCTGCATGGTGGAGGGAGCGCCCGCCAGGGAGCAGAAGAGGGTCAGACCAGGGCCGACGAACGCCTCTGAGTAGGGGTCACTGGCCCACTAAAATAATTCAACCAAGGCCGACTTTTAAATGAAGGACCCTAATTTAAAGTCTGAATGAGTGACTGGAATACGTGTGTATATGTGTGTGGGGGGACAGGTGTTGGGGCTAGGGGGTTCCAAAAAGGGAGAAAAACCATAAAATACTCTTTTCATTAAGAAAATAAGATGTTATTATTAACACCTAAGAAATTTTAAAATCTATTTCACAAGCACACCCTATTCCTTATTCTGTAATAGGTTATGTGGGAAGAGAATCTACAAAAAAAAAGAGTAGATATACGTGTATGTGGGCTTCCCAGATGGCGCTAGAGGTAGAGAGCCTGCCTGCCGAAGCAGGAGACACTAGAGACTCGGTTCGATCCCTGGGTGGGGAAGATCCCCTGGAGGAGGGCACGGCAACCCACTCCATTCTTGCCGGGAGAATCCCACGGACAGCGGAGCCTGGTGGGCCACGGTCCATGAGATCACAGAGCGGGACACATGTGCATGTGTAACCGAATCCTGCTGAACGCCTGAAACTAACACAACACTGTAAGTCAGTCATGCTCCAACAAAAGGTTTTTTTAAAAAGATAGTTTAAAAAATGTATTTCGCACCCAGAAATCACCACAGAGACAGGCAGAGGGGACAGCTGGGGACACCTGTCAGCCGGCCCCTCCTGAGGACTGGGGACGAGCCATGCTCACCGGCCTGGCTCCATCCCGGGTCCCCTTCAGACACAGGGCTGGTCCCCTTCTGGCGCTCAGCTAGGGTTCCATTGTACAAGCTCTGAAGTGCTCTCTACCCGCTGAAACTGTGAGTGTCCTGAAATTGTCTCTTGCAGCCTAAATGGCATTTGAAATAAATACTGGGAATTGATGAAATGACCAATTATGTTAAGTACCTGTGCCTGGTGTAATCCAAACCAAATCTTAGCCCATTATCCTCAAAACTGTGAGATGAATCAGCGGGCCCTCTTGCCAGCGATCCCGCAAGGACCAGAAGCCGGAGGCCGCCCTGGCCAGCGCTCCCAGTAGATTCCTGCAGTTGGTTTTACGCTGCAGAGAAATGACTGCTGCGTTCCCGCCCAGCAGCTTACAAACCAAGTGACTATCAGTGCACACAGGTTCCCACTGTAAGCACCGTGTTCCCCTGGGTTCAGGCTTGACCTTCCATTACTTCCTCTTTGGAAATCGCAGCTTTTCTTCCGAGACACACCCTGGAGCGCGTGAGAGCATTACTGCAAAGTGCCCACAAGGCCCTCATTTCCGCGCCCAGCCCAGGGAGCCCCCGCAACGCTCCCCACCGGTGGTCCTCTCGAGCCCACGGCTGTGCTGGTCCCCCTCCGGGCACTGCCCCCATCGAGCTGATTCTGCAAGGCCTTCAGCAAGTGTCAGTTCTCCCAGGAAGTGACCGCCCACGTGCCCTCCCTCCTGACAAAACCAAGGCTCAGCCCTCGAAGCAGCTGGCCTATCTGCTTCTTCTGCAGCTTCGAGATTCTTCCAGTCTCAGCCCCCAGGACCAGGCCACAGAGCAGGTCCTCCCCAGCCCCGGGGCAGCCTGGTTCCGTCGGTTCTGCCTGTGGTCAGGGCCCACGGTCACAGCTTGGCTTTGCTGGCCAGTCACCGCATCCCTGTGTCACCCTGTGCGACCAAGCTTCACCTTCTACCCTGCTCCTAGAACTCAGCTCTTTAGGGCGTCTTCTTGGCCTGCTGTCCCAATGCCGGTGGCTGATCCTAGTAACAGAGTCCTCTCCCAGCCCGATTACCCAGGAAAACATCTTCCTACTTCCCAGAAACATTAAAAAAAAAAAAAAGTGGACATATATTGAAAATATAAAGTATAAATATGAGAAAGCGGGCATAAATCAGCTACATTTTCTTCTACTTGATCCTAAGTGAAACCCCCTGCCAGCATGACTGGGCAGCTCCCTTCTTTCTCTGCCGCTGTCTTTACTGTGAAACTTTTCTTCATGAGCATCAGCAACTTCTTAATGAGCGCTGTCCACCAAAGAAACCCCGACATACGACGAATATCTATGAAAGGGAAGCAGACTCAGAGACCTAGAGAACGGACTCAAGGTTGCCAAGGGGGTCGGGAGAGGCTGGGGAGGGAGGGACCTGGAGTCTGGGATGAGCAGGTGCGAACTATGACGTCAGGATGGATAAACAACCAGGCCCTCCTGTGGAGCACAGCGAACTACATTCAATATCCCGTGAGCAGCCGTAACGGAAAAGAATATGAAAAACAACATATATACGTATATATATTCATAACCAAGTCAATTTGTTTTACAACAGAAACTAATACAACACTGTAAATCAACTATACCTTAATACAAATTTCAAAGGTATTAATTCAGAAGAATACACAGTTTTAAAAACCTTACTGTGATGTGAGTGTCTCGCAAACTCTCTATACAGTATAGATACAGCAAGTGAAGACAGGAAACACCATTAATAAATCTCCACCCACTCCCGAATTCTCATCACGACCCTCTGCTTTCCACATGTGCAAAAGAAATTAGTAGGATGTATTGAATTGGATGTGGATTCAATGAGCATCTGAAATCTGTAATAATTCAATTCTCAATGCCTAAGAGTAATTAGGAATGTTTAACCCTATAAAGAACACAAACAATGTCTACCACCCAATGAGACAGAATCTCATGATGAAATCGCTCAGCTTCAGAAACTTTATCAATTTTTCCCTCATGCGTGTGCCCCGTAGAAATAACCAAAAACTAACACGCTTAGAGCAAATCTTCCCTAATGTGGAACTTAAAGAATAAAAATCCTGTAGGAAAATGCTCTCAGTAAATAAAATCACTTTTGTGAAAACAATCCAACCATGAATGACATTCATATCATTGCTACAGATCTAGAGGAAACTAAAGATGCATGTAACTTTGAAATCCACTTGAGAAAACCCAAAGGCTCATCATTTACACTTTCTGAAGGGAACATTGAGTATATATCTTTTTAATTATGTCTTAATATTTGAGAGTGGAAGCATTTTCCAATTTTTTTCTTAAATATTCAGGATATCTATAACAGTTATTAAAATCAGAATTAACCAGACCTGCCTGCCTAAATTTCACCGGGACCAAGCAAAGACACAAAGAAGTCCTAAGTCCCCAACTTCACAGGTTATGTAATAAAAGCATGCAATTGTCTGGCCTTGAAAACAACTTTACAAAGGTGACGGCATCTCTCACAGCTTTCTGAGCTACTCTGGAAACCTGAAGATATATACCTCTTTCCTTAGCTACATTTCGGCCTGCTCTTTCCCACCCATGGCTGACCCTGGGCATGTACTTTTAAGAAAAAGAGGCTTAGCATCTCTCAACCAACCAAGGCTCACTGAAACTCCTCAACCTGGAGCCCAGGATGGGTCTGAATCTCTTGGCACCAGCAACCCACTTGCTTCGGGCCAGCGGTGGCCCGGCAAGGCCCAGCCAACCAAGAGAGGCTAGCGGCGAGGGCAAGGCGGAGACCCTCGGAGCAGCCCATCTCAGCCGGTGTGCAGGGCAGGCATTCAGAACGGTCATCTCCCCAAACACTTTCTCAAAGTAGGCAGCAGGCATCGTCTTGCTATCTTTAGCCACACAGTCTTCTTTGACTATGGCCATTTCTAAAGACGCTTGACAGCAAAAGCAGAGATGAAAGGCAGTGTGAATTCCTTGAGTGCACAGGAGAGGAAGTTGTTAAGAGAGCTGAGGACCGAATGGACAGCAGAGAGAATGCCCCGCCTTGCCCCCTGCAAACGACGCCTGCAGGGACGAAAGGTATGGGTGTGAGCTCTGAGCCGCCGAGCCAGCCACAGTCACCCTTGGGCACCCGTGGACATCGGACCTCGCGTAACAAGTGAACCTCTACGATGACCCGAGCGGCCAGACGCCCACAGCATTCCTTGGAGCCCAGGCACAGGCAATCCATAACGGGGTTTCACTTTGGTTTTCTCAACCCATTTCTGTCACCATGACATCATCATGTATAATTCCAACTTCACCAAAGCAAGCCAAGCGCTTCTGGAATCGGACCAGTGACAACAGACCAAAGAAACTGTCTCACCTCTGACCAACAATTCACAGCAATCAGGAGACAAGGGGAGGATGGAAGAAAGAGACGTGGAGACACAGGGCCGCCCCACAGGAGTCACCCAGGCAGCGGACAGGAGCCCCCTCCGAGAGGAGGGTGGGGCGCGGGGGTGGGGTGTGCAGAGACCTACCTTGCAGGAGGGCTCCGTTCCTCTTGAAGAAGGTGCTGCCTGGCCAGAGGGGTGGACCTGATGTGCTGAAACGGAAGAGAAAGCAGTGTGAGCACGAGCTGTCTGCACTCACTCGGGGGACGGCCTACAAACACGTCCTTCCAAGTGGCTTCAAAACACCTTCCAACCATGCACTATTTATACCCTCCGAAAACGCATCTTTGAAGAGTGTTAGGCTCATTGTATGATGAATGGGCTTCATCTTTCAAAGTGCAGAACCCGTGTGTGTGGGTGTTCTGACCACTGTCTCAACCCTCCTCTCTCTCGGGCACAGAAACCATTTGCAGGCAAACGAAACGGCAATGTCAGTTCAACGCCAAAGCTCACAACTTTTGCTAAACTGCTCTTCACTTTATGACTTGATGCGGTCAAGAACTCCCATCCATGTCTTCTGAGGTCAGCAGGTTTTCCACCACTTTTGATGCCACTGGCCCAATAAAAGGCAAGTTTGCCTTCTGGTGTTTCTGCCACCATCCTTAACACACAGATCTGACCGTGAGCGCCCCCGTCCCTCCCTCACCGTCTGGCCTCCCATCCCGTTTTCAATTTCTTGGCTTCATTGTTGCACTCTGTGTCCTATAAAACATTTTGCAGCTATGTTACCACTCACAGCTCTGTAACAGGAGAGGCAAGAAAAGTGGAAAGATCAATGCATCACAAAGACACTTTATTACATTTGTAGATCAGCATTTTCACTGTTTTAAGACACCCAGTGAAAAACTTTATAACCTAGCCAGTCTTACGAAAATATCCTTGCAGTGGAAAGGAGCTGATTCTAAATCAAGGATTGGTTTAGATTAATGTTAGAGAGCACTTAGTCAAAACTGTTACTACAGCCAGCCCCAGAGGTGGCATAAATTACTTTCTCCAAAATAGAATGTGGCAAATGATCCTGGTTAAGGCATTATCAATCACCTTCAACATTAAAAAAAATAAAATAAAAAAGTGGGTCTGAATACAGGTCTCTAAGTTTGGCGAACATGAACACACATACACACATATATACACAGAACAAACAGTCTGAAGGACTCGACAGGGAATGCTTCTAGAGTTAATCAGGTTCTCCAACAGTGCAACCCGTTAACAAGGAGGAGAAATGTCAGGGACACATCTCTTGACCAAGACTGCACTCCCGGAGATACGAACAGCACTCCAGCTGTGGGGACCAGCTACATGACTTGTGAGGAGCAGAGCAGGGGAGGAAAAGTGCTACCGCACACAGACACGTCAGAATAACGTCAGACGTGCTGGAAAACACACGGCATGAACGCTGACGTGACTGATGAGACTGTTTGCTTCTGGCTCGGGTCCAGCACGCTCAGGGTAAGCGAGGCTGCCGATGCCCCGACCCTCGGCTCCGGCGGCCGTGGCCCCCGCGCACCGGGAGCCGCACAGAACAGAGGGCCTGCCCGGGGCCTCGAGCCGCCGGTGCCGGCAGCCAGCGGAGCTCTCTTGTCTCTGACTCCTGTCCGTTCCCAATCTGAGGCTGCTCAAAGTCCCATGAAGAGTCAAGTGTGTGAAAGTGCTTAAGAGTGTCTTTTAACAACCCCAGCCAGCTCCTGAGGCTTTCCCACCGTAGTTTTATAAGAAAGCAGGAAATAGCCACCTGGCTGTTGCCAAGACTGCATCTCCTGGTGTCTAAAGGTGCTTAAAAACTGAGGACGTCAGTACAGAGGAGCCGCTGCTTCCGAGAATTCAAGAACAGAGCACCATCGCAGAAACCTCAATATCCGGCTTACTTCCCTCCGAGTCTCCTCTTCATCCTGGCCCTCATCTGGCTGGAAACTGAGCGGAGGCGGGGACGGGATAAACGGGAAGAGAGGACGGGCACAGCCAGCGGTTTAGATGCGGAAGGCTCTCTGCAGGGCGGAAATCCACTTAGAGACCTCTGCGGCGTCCCGCTCACGCGCCGACAGCCTGGCCGCGGCTGGGACTGCCGTGCTGGCACGGAGTCCATCCTCACGGTGCCCACGGAGCCGGACCGCCGCCTGCCCGCCCTGACGCGGCCCCCGCCAAGACTCGCATTCAGCTGTGGTCCCTGCCCCTCAAGCTGAGCCGCTCTCTGCTGCGCTCGCCGCGAGGCTTTCGGGCTCACGGGCCTTGTGTCTCTCACTCTTCTTTGGGATGGCTGCCCCCAAATGACACCTTCTAGCTGTGAGGAGATGGAAGGGCTTATCAAGTACTTGCTGCAAACTGCTTGGACATGGAGGGGAAAATTACAAGCCATGCTTTATGGCCTCCTGGGGCTTGCTGTCATACTTGTGTGTGCAAAGTTGCTTCAATCATATCTGACTCTGCAACCTTACGGACAAGCCGCCCGCCAGGCTCCTCTGTCCGTGGGATTTCCCAGGCAAGAACACTGGAGGGGTCGCCATGCCTTTCTCCAGGGGCTCTTCCCGACCGGGGATCGAACCCACGTCTCTGACGTCTCCTGCGTTGGCAGGCGGGTTCTTTACTACTAGCACCACCTGGGAAATGGGAAGCCCGCTGCCACACTCAGCTGGCTCCAACCTCCTGCGACTCTATCTAGAGAGACTAGAAATGTGTGTGGAAAAGACCAATGGTTATGGCCCTTGTGGCTTCAGGTTGCGGGGCAGCAAACTGACTTTTTTCCCTCCATTGGGAGATATTCCTGGCTCATGGGCCTTTAAAGCTCAAAGTTAGTTTTAAAAAGTAAGTGAAATTACTTAAAAGTACATAGGAACCACAGTAATCCAGAGAAGCTGGCGATCAAGGTTTTTGTGGCAGAATCTCAGAGACCTCACGCTGCTGACAAAGGTCCATCTAGTCAAAGCTATGGATTTTCCAGTAGACATGTAAGGATGTGAGGGCTGGATCACAGCCAAGAAAGCTGAGCGCCGCAGAACTGATGCTTTTGAACGGTGGTGCTGGAGAAGACTCCTGAGAGTCCCTTGGACTGCAAGGAGATCCAATCAGTCCATCTTAAAGGAAATCAACCCTGAATATTCATTGGAAGGACTGATGCTGAAGCTGAGGCTCCAATGAGCTCCAACCCCACTCTTTGGAACCAGCAAGCTGGTCACCTGATGCGAAAAGCCCCTTCATTGGAAGCCCCGAGGCAGGGGAAGACTGAAGGCAAAAGGAGAAGGCAGAGGGTGAGATGTCAGACTGTGTTCAGACTCAGCGGACATGCGTATGTATCAGTGACTCGTTTACGTCTGACTCTTTGCGGCCCCATGGACTGGGGGGCGGGCGTCGCGTGGGCTACGGGGGGTCGCAAAGTGTTGGACGTAACAGTGACTAACACACACACGTCCACTGCGTGTGTAACAGTACGGGCCTGCGGTGCCAGCCCGTGGACTGCAGTCTGCCGTGAGTTTGAGCAAACTCTGGGAGACAGTGGAAGACAGGAGAGCCCGGCCCGATGCAGTCCATGGGTCACAAAGAGTCAGACACAACATAGAGCCTCAACGACAACTCATGCCAGCCGGAAACCACTCACTCACACGGCAAATCGAGCGGTGGGGAGCGGAGCGGTGTTCGCGGAGGCGGACGGAGGACTCTCCTCAGTGTGAGCTGGTGCCAGCATCTGTGTTACCAGCGGTCACCGCCCTGGCGGGGCCACAGGAGCTCCTTAAGCGTGTCCTCACCCCCTGCAGTGGTGCTCACCGTCCCGAATGACCGCGGGCGTCGGCGCTTCCCGGGGGATCCTCCCACCCGTGGGTGAGCAGGGCCCGCCTCCCACGGGGTAGGCGCGGATGGGGAGGCACGTGTCCAGCTCACTGCGGTGGGTCAGCGGCCAGGCCGAGCCCAGCCCAGCGCGCCACAGAGACACTGGCAATGGCCCTGACTTCATTTCTCATCGCCCGGCTTCTCTCCAGGCTTCCGGCACTTAGCCCTGAGCTACTCTCCATGGGAGAAGGCTGTAGACGGTGTTTCCCTAGGACTCTCTCCGAGGAAAAACCCCAGGCTAGAAAAAGCAATCAGCTCACCATACATGACAGACAGACCCGTGGGTTCAGATCAGAAGAAATGACCCAACGCTGGCACCACAAACGTCTTATTTCAGTGACGCTCTAACACAGTCCCATGACCTTCAGCCGTGAAGAGCCAAACCCACGTGTGGCAAAGGAAGTGAACCGATGGGTCGAGAGGGCCTGGCCTGCCAGGAAAGGCAGCTTGTGAGCTGACATCTGAGAACACGGGCCCAGCCGACCACGAAGACCAGGGCTGAGCCAGTAAGTCCCAAGGGAGGCGCCCTACAGTCCAGGCAGCGCGGCCAGCGTCTGCCGGAGACGCGCCGCCCCGGGGCTCACGCTCGCTGCCGTGGTTCTGCCAACTCCCAGAGGGACACTGAAGTCAGAAGGCCGCCTGGCCCCAAGGTGGCCCTTGGTGTAATGACGTCATCAGTCATGTGACGCCCATGGGCTTTCATCGTGGGCAGGACTGGCTGAACGGCAAGACCCCTGGAGGGTCTGGCAAGAACCACACCCATATTCACCAGCCTGGGCATTCTGTGAGTCAGAAAAGAAAATTAAGAAAAACACTTTTATTCTAAGTACAGTCTAAGGGCAGGAGGAGAAGGGGGCAACAGAGGATGAGATGGTTGGATGGCATCATCAACTCAATGGACATGAGTTTTAGCAAGCTCCGGGAGTTAGTGAAGGACAGGGAAGCCCAGCGTGCTGCAGTCCATGGGGCCACAAAGAGTCAGACACGACTGAACAACCGAACAACTTTTTATAAAGTACTTTTTTTCCCCACTAAGAGCCCAGCTGCAGAATGAGAACTGGTGGATCTAGAAAACAGGATACAGCATGGATGAACCCGGAGGACATTATGCTGAGTGAAACACGCCAGTCACCCAAGGACAAAGACTGTATTTGACCACAGCAGTCGAGTCCATAGAGACGAGACAGAACGGGAGTTGCCGGAGGTTGGGGTAGGCAGAGGGGCCAGGGAGCAGTAACAGAGACTCGGTTACTGGGTGCAGAGCTTCCACTGTGTAAGGTGAAAAGAGTTCTGTAGGTTGGTCCCCCACTACTGTGAACGTACTTAACACTAC